GTTGTACATAGGGTCGCTATGAGTCGCAGGCGACTCGACGGCACATAACAACAACAACAACAGCTCCCTTCTAGGGCAGAGAAGAACTGTCTCCTAGGATTTCACCTACATGGAGCATGTTGTCCGAAGGGGCCATTCATGAAAAAAGGAGATCATGCCTGGAAAGCTGGAGGGTCAGCAAAAGAGAGGGAGACCCTCAGTGAGATGAATTCACACTGTAACTGTAACAGTGGTTTAAGCATAGCAGAGATTGTGCGAGTGGTACAAGATCAAGTAAGAGTTCCATCTGTTGTACATAAAGGCACCATGAGTTGAAGTAGACTCAACAGCACATAACAACAACAGATCTTTACAGAAGCATACTACCTCATCTTTCTCTCACAGAATGGCTAGCGGGTTTGATCTTTGGGCTTTAGGCACAGCACGATGAGAGCTCTGCAAACATTTATTTGCATTAAATTAATTTTCTTATCCAATTTTATTTCATTTATAGCATTGCATATATATTTCTGATTCCTTTCAGAAATAGTTACATATTAAAATGTGGAACATTGAATCCAGAAAAGAGGGTGAGGAGACAACATTGTAAGACTGTACTAAGTATCTTGCCATAATTAATGCTAAGTTTTAAACAGGAAAGATGTGGTATGACTTCCAGCTAAACACCTTGTAAAAAGAGCAAGGGTTGCATGGGGACAGCCATATCTGGCACTTCACAGAGGGGAATTGTGCCCATTAACAGCACCAGCAACACAAAACCAATTCCCATGAGGTTAAACATGTCTCCCACTCTCCCATACCTCTGTTTATCTCAACATCACTCTTACTCCTTTACTGGGTCCACAATCTGATGTGATAGCTCACAGACCACCCAGAACCGTATTGGGCATGTCAAAAGGTTATAATCCAGGTTAGTAGCAGAATGCAGTCAGGACAGCTTCCAAAATGTGTTTCTCAGCCTTGAGCCTCACACTTTAGGCTGGTATTACAAAGCTCTTAGTTCTGCCATTTATGGCTCTTCCCCACCTACCAGCTATCTTCAATTCTCCATTGTCCAAGAAACTTGAGCAAAGGCTCTTTGGTTCCATTGCGGGTGGCAGTCCCGAGGTCAGCTCCATCTCACGTTGGTCTCTGGTCCTCTGTTTGGGCATGGCTACTCCTGCCATAAGTCTAGCTGACACAAGAATCTCTGGCGGATGGGCCACATTCTCTTGCTGCTTCTTTGCTGGTGGGGGAGATCTTCTGATTCTGCAGCTGGATCTGCACAATTTAATGGTGAGACTAACCAATCTCCTTGTAGGTAGGCTAACACATCCTATATCCATATTGCCACCCCTCCACATGGCAAAGTACGTTAATGGATGGGGAAGCCTATCCATTTTGAACAGTAAATCCTTAATACCACATACCTTAAAAACAATTATCTAAACTAAAGTGTGTGATTAATGTGAACATTTCTTATACTGTTGTTCTATCTAGAGTTGATAAGAACAAAAAAAAAACCCCACCAAGTCTTTTTCCTTATTCAGTTTACTTCTAGATTTTGCAAGGTATATTCTACCAAACATTTATGTCTTAATATGATCCTTAAGGGGGGAAAGTTCTGCCGTCAAATAAATTTGGGGTATTTGATATGCTCTATATCACTCTCAAACAAGGAAAAGTTTTGCTTTGTGTTTGTTTTGTGTTACTGGTTTTTCCCTCCACAAGTGGGTGTCAGCTGGCTGGACTTTGCCCGATTTAGCAAGCAAGGACCCAAGGGTGTAGGGTCTACTTTGTTTATTAGAGTCAACAGCATTTGTTGGGAGTGTCTTTAAAATTCCATAGGAATGTTATTAAATTTATTAAAATGAATTACATTTGTTAGTGTTAGGAAGACATCCTTAAAGTGCTACAGCAGTCATCTGTCTACTTCCTGTACTGAAGTAACTTGGAGTTGCTGTGATGCTGAACACTCTGCCACAGTTGTATCAAATACCATAATGGTTACCCTTCATGGACAGTATTTGGAGGAGCTTCCAGATTGATTCAGGTTTGGAAGCAGGAGTGGCATCACCTCCAAAACCAAATGTCTCTGGAAACTCTATGAACTTGGAGAAAAGACAATAGTTACAGAAAGGCATTAGGTGTTTTGTTCATAGAGTTGCTATGCGTTGTGCCCTACTCGACGGCAATCAACAAGAACAACATATCACTCTTAAATATTTATAAATTCACATCAGAAATAAGTTTATATCTGCAACAGAAATATCTACTTAGTTCTGTTTAATCATCCTTTTGCTAGTTTGTATAACCACTAAATCCCTTTCTCCTATAGCTTGTGTTAGTATGCCATTGAGCACACTTTGAGAAACAACTTTAAGTGATTACTTAATCTTTCGGAGGGTTAGAATGAAGGCTTGACTGCATTGTCTAATAATTGACGAGATGTTCCGGGTACAGTTCTCTTCATTTAACTTAAATGATTTATTTAAACTTAAACTAAATCTTTAAGGTGTGCTGTTAGGGGCCATCAAGTCAGCTCAGACTCACAGAGATTCACGTGAAACTAAAGAAAACACTGCCTAGTCCTGTTCCAGCTTCACAATCTCTGCTCTGTGTAATCCCACTGTTGCAGCTGCTGCATCAATCTATTATTATAGATTAAGAACTTCAAGTTCTGAGATGTTAATAGCATTTCCATCAAAGCAGTCTAGCCTTCATGACCCTTGATGACCTGAAAATATGTAAATGATGTCATTAGTGAATGCTCAACTGATAAAAATAAGATTTTTGGTTGTTTTTATTCCACAGATATTGCTGGGATTTCTCTACCTCAGAACTTGAGTGGATACTCTTTGTTGCCACTCTCCTCAGAAATGTTTAAAAATGAATGCAAATTCAAATATTCACATCCACCTTGGATCCTGAGCGAATTCCATGGATGTAACGTGAATGCCTCCACCTATATGCTTCGAACTAACCAGTGGAAGTACATAGCTTATTCTGATGGTGTGTCGGTGTTGCCTCAACTTTTTGGTAAATATGTATTGATACACTTTCAAAAACGAGGTATGGAACTGACTGGCATAGCTTTGTCGAGTGCCTGCCTTCTTGAAAAACAGCAACTTTGCCAGTCAACACCAGAGCAAGTTCCCTTTTAGTCTTTTGATCTGGATCTGATGATGGAAACCACATTTTCCTCTGATGAAGATGGCTTTTAATATTTGTGATTAACTTTTCCAATCAGCATTCACGATCCTGGTTTCAACTGCTCCAGAAGACTCACACCTATTTTATAGAGCCTGACTTTCTAAATATTTTATTTATTCTTCTTCACAGCCCTACAATGATTATACAATTATCCTCATACTAGGGTGATCAAAGAAATTCAGATACCTGTATCACATCTAAAAAGTGGTTGAGCTAGGATTTCAACCCAGGTCTGACTAAAAAACCCAAGCCCATTCCACACTATAAAATATATCTACTCACATCATTATTCTATCAATCAATTTTTTAAAGCATTGTTTGAATTTGGAGTTTTATTTACCATCCATCCTCATTTTATACTTGATATTGCATTCCCCCCCCAACAAACAGAAATTTATTCTGTCACAAAACCACAGACGTTGTTGTTATTGTTATGTGCCGTCGAGTCATTTGCGACTCATAGCGACCCTATGTACAACAGCCCTAAACCCTGCTCTATCCTG